CAGCAAGATCACAATAATCCCAAATAAACAGCTCAGGGGAAGGTCCCAAGTGCTTACATGACTTTGCACTAATGCACAGAGCATGGGAAATAAACAAGATGAACTCCAACTTTTAGCACAACACCATACTTACGATGTCATAAGCATCACTGAAACTTGATGGGATGACTCCTATCACTGGAATGTAGACATCGAGGGCTATAACGTCTTTCACAGAAACAGAATATGTTGACTATTATTAAATAAAAATAGTAATAAAACTTTATTTCTACCTTGCCACTATCTCCCAAAAGGGAGATGTTAATAAGCTGGAATGTGAAGGGTCTGGAGAACAAGCCTTATGACGAGCAGCTTAAAGAGCTGCGCATGTTTAGCCTGCAGAAAAGAAGGCTGAGAGGAGACATGATGGCCATGTATAAATATGTGAAGGGAAGTCATAGAGAGGAGGGAGCAGGCTTGTTTTCTGCTGCCCTGGAGATTAGGATGAGGAACAATGGCTTCAAACTATAGGAAAGGAGATTCCACCTCAACATTAGGAAGAACTTCCCAACTGTAAGAGCTGTTCAGCAGTGGAACTCTCTGGCCCAGATTGTAGTGGAGGCTCTTTCTTTGGAGGCTTTTAAACAGAGGCTGGATGGCCATCTGTCAGGGTGCTTTGAATGCAATTTTCCTGCTTCTTGCAGGGGTTGGACTGGATGGCCCATGAGGTCTCTTCCAACTCAATGATTCTATGATTCTATGCCATGTAATGCAACTTGAAACTGCATTATATGGTCCATGTTGACTCATATAATGAAGCTGTTCAATGCAGTTAAACTGCATTATATGACAGTTTAACTGCACTGGATGCAGTTTCAAACTGCTTTATATAGCAATGTAGGTGGGACTATGCAGGCCCGTAGCCAGGATATTGATTAGGGGGGCGGGGCTGAGTTTGATTCGGGGGGGGGGGCTGAGTCTGAGAGCCCCCCAAAGCCCCCCCCCCCCCCCGGCTACATGCCTGGGGCTATGAATTCAAAACTCTATGAAAATTTCAGGGTATGTTCACTTTCAAACAGCGACAAATCTACTCTGTGCTGATGCTTAATGCCATGATAGTGCAGCGCCTCTGAAGATCTTTCACCAGTAAAACTCCTATTCAACAAGGACATGGGTATGAAAAATGTGGCTCAAGGACTACATTGCTTTCAGTAAAGTTTGTGTGGCTTCCAGAGCATCCAGAGGTCAATAAATTGTCCTCAAATACCCTGCAGGAAATGGGATCATTATCACCACATTTTTGAGGCCCTGTTAGACATTTTGGGTCCAGGAGAGGTCTTTATAAGAAAACAGGAAGTGACTTGTAGATTATTTTCTGTTACTTTCTTGGGTTTTAAATGTCCCATAAAGGGGGTTCAAATTCTAACATATTTCTGAGGGAGCCTTTGGAGCAACAAAATGTGAATGCTGTTAAAGCGAAGGTGCAGATAACCAGGGAGGGCCAAATGCAACCTGTGCTAGCCTATGACAGTTGCCAATACCTACATTAGATGTACATGGAGTAGAAGTGTTGTAGCATCATGATTGGATTTGTGCTGCCTTCCCCCCATGGAGACTGATACACTGCCACCCTGAATTTGAGTGGATTTAGGGTGCATCCACACTATGAAATTAATGCAGTCTGACATCTCTTTACCTGCCACAACTCAGGGCCATAGGGGGCGTCGTTTGGTGAACACTTTTTGGCAGAGAAATCAAAAGACTTTGCAAAATTGCAATTCCCAAGATTCCCTAGCATTGAGTCATTGAAGTTAAAGCAGTGTTAAATGACAGTAATTCTACAGTGTGGATGGATCCTTAGTGATTCAACAGAAAAAATAGATATTGGGTATAGGAGAGTAACTGACTTTGGATTTGTTGTCATCTCCTAGTGCAATCCTGTATGTGTTTATTCAGAAGTCAAACTCCATTAAGTTCAACAAGGTTTAATACAACCAGGGGCCCTTCCACACAGCCCTATATCCCAGAATATCAAGGCAGAAAATCCCACAATATTCATTTCCTGCATTTGTAACCCACCCTTCTCACCCTGAGTGGGGACTTAGGGCAATATCTGCTTTGAGCTGGGTTATCTGAGTCCACACTCAGATAATGTGGGATTTTCTGCCTTGATATTCTGGGATATAGGGCTGTGTGGAAGGGTCCCAGATTAACAAAGAAATTACCATGGAATTAAAGGATTTTTTAAAAAAGGGTTTTAAATCAAAGAGAATGACAAATGTTAAAAGTTTACATGCAAATGAAAAGTTAAAAAGTTTTCCTCCTGGTAGATGAGATTACAATTTTTGGAATTGCATTTCAGCACCCACCCACTCCCCACTTCCACCCCATTTCTAGTTGCACAAAAACATTGGCTGAAATCCTATTGAAAGAAACTGGATTTATTTATGTGTTGACTCACCATTCAACAACTGAAAAAAAAACAGTCTATTCAAATTGGGACTAATCTATATGATTTCAGCCATTATATTTTCATTAAAAACATTTGTCCTGTAAAATACATTTTGCATGAAAACATTTTAGTTTGACCTTCCACTAACACACACACAGAGGCGGCCCTAGGTAATTTTCAAAGGTAAGCAAACAGTATTTTGATCCCCCCCCCCCACCAATCATTGATATATATTTTCTGTTCGTCGTGGGAGTTCTGTGTGCCATATTTGGTTCAATTCCATCATTGGTGGAGTTCAGAATGCTCTTTGATTGTAGGTGAACTATACATCCCATTAACTACACTTGCCGCACTTGCTCCCTTGCCTGGCCCGCTTTGGGTCCGGAGGTGTGCCTGAAGACCCCGGCGTGTGCACCAAAAGTCACCTCTTCTCCTGACTTTCTCCTCAGCCATTGGGACCGAAAGAGAGAGAGAGAGAGAGAGAGAGGTGGAGATGCCCACCTTTCCTGAAGGTAGGTGCAAAAACAAAGGAGGGAGCAGAGGTGGGAGATATCCCCAGCTGGAGGGTCTCTCTCTCTCTCTCTCTCTCTCTTGGTCCCAATGGCTGAAGAGAAAGTCAGGAGAAGAGGCGACTTTTGGTGCACACGCTGGGGTCTTCAGACACGCCTCCGGACCCAAAGCAGGCCAGATGTGGCGGCTCCGCCCCTTGGCCCACCCGCAGATTGGGGAGAGGAGAGGAGGCAGGTGGAGTGCCGGGGGATCGGGAAAGGGAACCAGTCATGGGGAAGGGATCGAACGCGGAGAACGATTGAGCGCCAGCTCTGCTCGTGCACCTGGTGGCCAGGTGGAGCAGGAACGAGAGGGGCTAGGCGAGGCTCAAGGGCCCAGCCCCTTTGGGAAGAGGATCGCCCGGCAGCGAGGCAAGAAAGCCGAGGCCCCCCCGGACTGCTAGGGCTGTTGTGAGCTGAGGGGGCGCTCCTCAAGTGGCGGTCGAGGGGCATTTACAGAGGCGCCTCTGCACCCCTGGCAAAAAAAAAGTGTTCTGCGACCGCTTACTTCGCGTAATGGACGAGCCGCCCCTGCACTAACACACACAACACACACACATATACTGTGCTGAGTCTTATGATGCTGTGCTATGCCTTCTTCCTGTCTGCCCCAAACCAAAGAGGATGCAGCATCTGTGATACCAGCACTCATGCTCCAGCATCTCAGAACTCCTTCATTTGCTACAGCTGCCTGGCTTTTAAGGTCAGTTTTAGGGGGAGGGATAGGGAGATAGAGCATAGTCATGACGTCATAGTATAATGTCATATGCTCTTTGTGCCGTGACGTTATCTTAACTGATTTGTTTTCTCCTTGGCAATATGTTACCATGACCACTTCACAAGAGAAAACCTTTTAGAACAATGTATCTTCTGTCTACAAACTTGCACAGAAATCAAAGAGAAGTCCAACTGCAATCACACATCAGGCATTTGTATTTATTTTCATCGATATAAATAGAATTTAACAATTGAAAGCCAAACAATACATTTACAAGCATTCACAGTTTTAGGTATCAACTCCAAATCAAAATAAGCACCATTTGCAGTCAGCAACATTTGCATACCACATGTATGTATGTTCAGCTGGTACAAAATTAAATTTGAACACTATTTGCATGGTATGCATGCTGCATATAAAACAGTTTGTCAACTGTTCACTTCCCAAAAAGAAAGAAGAGGAAGAAAAGATGCAAAAGATACAGAAATGGAAACTAGGGAGGAAGGAGGCATGGTGAAGAACTAATGGTGTGTGATGGGAAAATACAGCAATAAGGACACAGATGTGACCTCTCTTTTTATTTGGAGTTCTGTAAATTAACATTTTCCATCAGTAGTGAGAGGATTGAATTACACTATGTAATACAATTTTTGTCCCTGTGTTATAAGTATCATAACCTAATTGATTATATCATTTTAAAAACATGGGAAAAGTTTATTAAACTACAAAACTTTGTTTTTGCGGGATATCCTACAGCCCATTTTGCTATAGTTTTTCAATGAACATCTGATAAAGTGTCAACCAATTCAAAATAGTTTGTGACATCCACAAAAACAGAGTTTCTGAGGTATAACAACTACTTTCAAAGTAAGTACCTCATAATTAAAAGGGAAAGAACACTTTCAAACCAAGAACAGATTTTTTTCAAATTTTGTTACATGGTGTTATCACTAGGCTACATGATAATGCATGGCTATTCTCTCTCCTTTCCCCCTCAAATACATCTTTATACATCTCTGCATAAAGTAGCATTTCTCAACCTGGGGGTCAGGACCCCTGGGGGTTTGCCAGGGGGTTTCAGAGGAGTCGTCACAAACCATCAGAAAAGACATATTTCTATTGGTCTTAGGAACCCCTTTGGCAAAGAAGGCTGTCTTTTTCTGTTTTGGAAGCAGATGGGAAATCCTCCCACCAAAAGCCCTCCTCCACTGTGATTGACTGGCCTCTCAGCTAGCCTCTCAGCCAAGGGGAGGGCTGATTCTGAGACTCTGAGCAGAGAGGGGAAAGCAGGTATGCTCGACGCATGGCGGCATTGTGTGCTAGTGTGGGCGAGGGAGAGTGTGCGAGGAGGGAGGCTCAAGCAGGTGAGTCCCTTCAAGGCATGGTGATTCTGTGTGGGATGTTTAGCTCAATTCTATCTTTTTGGGGTTTAGAATGCTCTTTGATTGTAAGTGAACTATAAATCCCAGCAACTAGAACTCCCAAATGTCAAGGTCTATTTTCCACATACTCCACCAGTGTTTACATTTGGGCATATTGAGTATTTGTGCCAAGTTTGGTTCAGATATATCATTGTTTGAGTCCACAGTGCTCTCGGGATGTACATGAACTACAAATCCAAAACTCAAGGTCAATGCCCACCAAACCCTCTATGATGCATAAAGAAACTTAAATCACAATTGACTTGTTAAGTAACTCAGAAACATGAAAGAAAACACCACAAGCCGCACTTGTCATCCCAACTGTGATCAAAGCTGCTGTTGCTAAAGTCGCTGGTGTTAAGGGCAGTGAAACACGGAGGAAATCACACCATAAGGCAACCCTGCCCATGAGAGCATGGCTTTTGTCCTTAGCATGTCATGACCCATACTGCAAATGCATTCCTACCCAAGTCGAGAGGATGGCCAGTACTTCTTTGGCCCACTTGACCCATAAAGCACATTTGGGACATTGGATTGGCTGCTTTTCTTTAGCTTAAGTGTCGGTGGTTTGCTGTGAATATCAGTCATAACTTTTTCTTTGAGCTCTTCATGTGTTAAGGGTTTCTGGACTTCTTCTGCAATGAGATCATGCTTAAGTCCAGAAGTAGGTGGTCACAGGTGGATTGCTTCAAGCTGCATCTGAAATTTCTGCCCCAGAACCAGTTGAACTTTTATTGTTCCTCAGCAAGCATTAAGGAATACAAGTTGATGAAGTAGTATACTCTATCCTATTCAGTTTTATTTGATTACTGTAATGATTTTATAGTCCTTTAAATGCTCTTCATATCCTTTCAGTGCCTGGGGGAATGGAGACAGAAATAAATGGAGTGTGATGCTAAATATGCAAACACCAGAGTTTGTTGTTGTCTTTTGCATGCACATGAAAGTTTTGAAGTTTGTTGTTGTCTTTTGCATGCACATGAAAGTTTTGAAGGCCAGAAGTTCTGCATATTTTACTTAGCAATGCTGGCTCCTACCAGAAATTCATGAGGCCATTGCTATGACACTTAAATGTCTCAGGAGGAGCGAGAGAAAGGGACAGCTAGTCAGAAGTGATTGCCTCTTATTCCTCTGCAATTTGCAAAAATGGAAGACACTGGAACTATAGTGCTATCATTATTTTTCCAGGGTGAAAACTGCAGAGGGGTGAGAGGCAGTTCCCTTGTCTCATCACCTTACATTTACCTTCCACCATAGAAGCAACCCAACTGGTTATGGCATCTGCCTTTGTGGTGGGCAGAACATGGCTGACGAGTCCAGTGAAGAGCTACTAATGCCCATACAAAACATCATGTATGTATGTATAAGGCATGTGCATGTCACTAAGGAAGAAGTAAGAGGATGTTGTGTGTATGAGAGGAAGAGAGGTTTCGTGTTGTGCTTGTACCATACAGTTTCAGGAATCAGGAAGAAAAGGGAAAAGAACAATGGCAGCAGATGAAGGAGGCATGAGACTAGTCCATGACATTTTATTACTTACGATAAAATTCAATTGATGTCTGTTGCCTATTTCCCTTTACTAATAAAGTTGACGCATTCAAAACCTTGCCTCACCATTCAGAGACCAGTTTATGACCTTTTCTTCTCACAGAACGTTCTCTAAAGAACGTAACTTCACTCTGCTGCATGATCTCACTGGCCTTGAAGAAGCACTCCTCCAGTATGGCTGATCTATTTACAGTTTTTATATCCCACCCTTCTCACCCTGAAGGGGATTCAGGGTGGATCACAGAATGCATATCTGGCAAACATTCAATGCCATTATACACTGACAAGACAAACAACTATACATAGATAGAGGTATGTATAGGCTTTCCTATCTTCGGCATCTTGGAGGCTTGTGCCTCCAACCACCGTGGGGGGGGGGGTAGATGCTGTTGCTCCATCTTCCCTATTGAAGAGCTTTGTTCGTAAACTTTCTCCTTGATTGGATCACCTGTATTTTTCTGGCATTTCCTTACGGATGCCTTCAATACTTCCCTGCTTTAAAGCGGTACCTATTTATCTACTCACATTCATTTTCAAACTGCTAAGTAGACAGAAGCTGGGCTAAAGGCCAGGAGCTCACCCAGACCTGGGCTTCGAACTGTCAACCTTTCAATTGGCAAGATTTACTGCAGCTGGTGGTTAATCTGCTGTGCTTAGAGCCATCCTGTCCTGAAGATGGAAGGATTGTCCTCCTCCACAGCAGCCCTGATCCCTACCACTGCAAGGCCATTTGCTTGTGAAGGTTTGGAAAGATAGACATAGCAGAGGAGCAAGGGAAACAGATGTCTCAACAACACACACACACACACACACACAAATACACAGACATATATCATTTTATTTAGTTCATGAATCATCAGGTTCAAACACAGCTGAGTTTAAGAAGACATGTGTCTGTAGTTATAATATGGGGCAAAATGAGAATATTGCCCTCATTGGAATTCTGCTATTTGCCTTCCATTTTTAAATTTCTAGCATTGCAACAACTTAAAACGTCAACTGATCATTTAGAAATACAAATTAGGCATTTTAAGGGTTAAAGCAATTGAAGGAATGCTACCATCCTCATTCTCTCAGTCTCTATGGTGCTAGAAGATCTCATGGCATAAGAGAATGTCAACTCAGCAAATGTAAACTTTCAAAGTATACAATTTTTTAAAGTTCAAAATGCTGCCTACTTACTGCTTCCACAATTTCAGGAAAAGGCAATGTGTTAACCATTGATCACTATTCTTCAAGATAAAGCATTCTTTGTTAATCTCAAATAACTCAACAACATATTTTGCTCTCCTTTTAAACAAAAACAAATTTTGAAATGTTTTTTCTCCTTTTAAACAAAAATAAATTTTTAAAGACTCCAAAGAAAGAAAGTTAACCACCTTCTAAAATAATCTATTCTGATGTTGAACAGCTCTTATCATTAAGAAGTTTTAAATATTTCAATTGAATGTTTTTTTCTTGTTGTTGTTCATTCGTTCAGTCGTCTCCGACTCTTCATGACCTCATGGACCAGCCCACGCCAGAGCTCCCTGTCGGCCGTTACCACCCCCAGCTCCCTCAAGGTCAGTCCAGTCACTTCAAGGATGCCATCCATCCATCTTGCCCTTGGTCGGCCCCTCTTCCTTTTGCCTTCCACTTTCCCCAGCATAATTGTCTTCTCTAGGCTTTCCTGTCTCCTCATGATGTGGCCAAAGTACTTCAACTTTGTCTCTAGTCTCTTTCCCTCCAGTGAGCAGTCGGGCTTTATTTCCTGGAGGATGGACTGGTTGGATCTTCTCGCAGTCCAAGGCACTCTCAGAACTTTCCTCCAACACCACAGCTCAAAAGCATCGATCTTCCTTCGCTCAGCCTTCCCTAAGGTCCAGCTCTCACATCCATAGTGACTACAGGGAATACCATGGCTTTGACTAGGCGGATCTTTGTTGCCAGTCTGATGTCTCTACTCTTCACTATTTTATCGAGACTGGACATTGCTCTCCTCCCAAGAAGTAAGTTTTTTCTTGTAATTTGAATCTATTGACTTGTGTTCTAGTCTTCAGGGAAACAGAAAAGAAGTTTGCTCCATACTTACAGTGTGTCCCTCCAGAGCTTAGGAGAAGTCCAAAATAGAACTATGCTGTTCACTGGACTCTGCAGCACATCCATGCCTTTTAAAGGATTGTTTCCAGTCCTCTAAATAGGGCCATGGTGGCACAGCAGGTTAAACCACTAAACTGCAGAACTTGCTGATCAGATGGTTGGTGGTTCAAATCCACAGACAGGGTGAGCTCCTGTTGTTAGCCCCAGCTTCTGCCAACCTAGCAGTTTGAAAACATGCAAATGTGAGTACAGTGTTCCCTCACTACTTCGCAGTTCGCTTTCTGCAGGCATGCTGTTTTGAGGTTGTTTAACAAAATGAATTTAAAATATACAGATAGTGAGGGAACGCCATATACCTGTTGTTTCTCTGACGTAGATGCTGCCTCCTCCTCTTCCTCCTCCTCCCCTGATGAGGCCTTGCTCATGCCACATTTCCCTACAGTGCCTCAGAGAAGAGGAGGACTAGGAGCAGGAGGAGGCCTTCCTGCCAGGTTCCCACGTGTTGCCCCAGGCCCAGGCTTCCACATCTAGCTCGAGCAGGCTTCTTTGCGGCTGCTGCTACTGCCTTAGCAACACTGGGCCTGAGCAAGGAGTAGGGTGAGGCAGCCATGGCTCTGTCTTGGCGACCCCTCCACTGCTGCTGCCCCTGTGCTTTGCCTCTATCCCACCTCTGGAGAAGCCTGGCCTGGAAGAGGAAGGCTGTGAGTGAAGGAGAGAGCACAGGGGGAGGGGGGGGAGGGAGGAGGGGGGACCAGTGTCAGAGAAAGAAAGGTGGGAGAGGCACCAAGCTTGAGATTGCAAATATATATTATACTGTGTGTGTGTGTGTGTGTGTGTGTGTGTGTATAGCATCCCTATTGGATTTTCACTTATTGCAGGGGGTCCTGGAACACTGTGGATCAATAGGTACTGCTTGTCCAAGAAGGTAACGGCACTCCATGCAGGCATGCTAGCCACATGACCTAGAAGGTGTCTATGGAAAATGCCAGTTCTTCAGCTTAGAAATGGGGATGAACATCACCCCCCCCTCCCCCAGAGTCGGACACCACTAGACTAATGTCAGGGGAAACATTTACCTTTACCTTTCCAATCCCTGCTTAACTCCTATTTTTCATCTATCAATAAATAATTCAGTTTCACCATTGTGACACTGACTTTATACCGGTATAATGAGATGCATATGCATTCAATCTACTGCCATGTCCTTGGGAAGGTGGTATCAAGCAAACTCTGCTGCATCAAAACTGGAGTAACACAATGATCAAGCCATAGCAATTGTAAACACTTTCTGTCTAAGAAGCTTTTTGCCAAATCTA